GCCATCTGAAGCTATAGAGAGATCTTGTCTCCAAAAATAAAATTGTGTATGTGTGTGTATATATATATATGTGCATATATATGGCAAAAGTGACTAAAGTCACTAATCAGCTGATCCTGATTACTCAATAGGAAGATTACCTTGGGTGGGCCCAACCTTATCAAATGAATCTTTTTAAAGTGGGTCTGGAAGTGTGAGAACAGTACTAGAGTTTAGCTCAAATAAACTAGCAAAATAATAAAACATAGTAAGATGTGTTCCCATTGAACTTAAACCAACATATTATGGTGAGAGTCATGAGGCAAGGAATGAGAGAAAGTCTTCAGAAGCTCTGGGCTTCAGCACTCCAAATACAAGGAAATAAATGCTATCCACAGTCACATGAGCTTGGAAGAGCCCAAGCTATGGATGAAACCACAGCCCCAGCCTTCCCAGACCCTAAGCAGAGAATCCAGCCAGACTTCTGACCTAAAGTAACCATCAGATACATAAAGGAAGATAGTTATAAGCTACTTTTTTCATAATCATTTGCTATCCAGCAACAGAGAATGTATACAATGAACTAGATCTGCAGCTCCAAGGATTCAATGAGAATTCAAGAACGTAAGTTCTCCTTTCAGCCAAAATGACAAACACAAAGGGAAGGAGGAGAGGCACCTGATAGATATTTTCTAGGCCTTTTGGGAAAACGAAGTTGCTCTTTGGCCACATATATGCGAATCTACAAGAGTGATAGTATAGATATTAAGGGAATGGGTACTGTTGAAATAAATATTACTGTGGCAAAACTGAAGTCTACAATGCCACCCGATCTAGTTAGTTTAAGGTTGTTGTGATAAAACACTGACCAAAAGCAACCTGGGGGAGGAAAGAGTTTATTTGGTTTATACATTCTAATCACAGTCCATCATCGAGGGAAGCCAAGGCTGGAGCTGAAGCAGAGAACATGGTGGGATGTTATTTACTGGCTTGCTCAGTTACCCTCCTTATATAGCGCAGGTCCACTTGCCCAGGGGCAGCATCACCCACAGTGGACTGCTGGGCCCTCCTGCATCAATTACTAATTGAAGAAAATGCCTCACAGATATGACCACAGACTAATTAGATGAAAGAAACTTCTTTCTTCCCAAGTGTCTCTAATTTGTGTCAAGTTGACAAAAACTAAAATATCACCCAAGTATGCTGTTGGCATTGTTACAAACAAGCAAGGTAAGGGCAAGATTCTTGCCAAGAGAATTAATGTATATCTTGAAGACAGGCACTCTAAGAGCCAAGACAGGTTCCTAAAACAGGTGAAGGAAAATGATCAGAAAAAGAAAAAGTCAAAGAGAAAGGAATCTGGGTTCAATTGAGGCTCCAGCCTGCTCTACCTAGAGAAACACACTTTGTAAGAGTTAACGGGAAGAGCCTGAGCTGCTGGAGCCTAACCCATGAATTCATGGCTTAACAGATTACAAAAAGACTGAAAATGTTTTTCTTAAATTGAAGCATGGTTATCTTCCCTTCAAAGAAAATTTTAAAGCAAAAATAGTTCATTTTGTCTTTCTTATTCAAATTTAACATTCTTATTGCTAAAAGATGTGGCTTAGTGTGCAACAAATGTACTCCATTTATTAGAAATGACCTATTATTTATAGAATATTTACACTGGTTTCAAGATAGTTCTTCTAAGTAACCATGGGAAAAAGATGCATAAAAATCACACAGAATGGTGCGCCTTTAATCTTTAGCACTCAGGAGGCTGAGGCAAGAGACTCTTGCATTCAAGGCCAGCTTGGGTCACATAGCAAGACCCTATCTCAAGGGGAGGGTGTTCATTGTATTACCATTAAGCTCCAAAGACATTAATTAGTCATAATTATATTGTGAATGGCTAGACTTGATAAGGAGCAAGAATTTGTCTTTGAAGCCTACTATCTAGAAATACATTGTTTAAAAGTACCCTGTTGTAAGTTAGATATAAGTTGTGAATTTCTTTGACCATGGAAGAGGAGTCAAAAATAGTAGTTAATTTGTTTGGGGCCTAAAAAATAAAACAAACACTATAAATCGGGGGGAGGGGGGCATAAGACTAAATGTACTTGAAAAGCAAATTTTGATATTAAGTTTACTAAATAATTTGAAAGAATTATAATATTTAACATATAATTTGAAATAAGATAAAAAAGTTAGATTTAGTTGCTTTACATTTTTCTTCCACTTATGTTAATTAACAAAAGATTCTGAGACTTGACTTTATAAAAAAGAAATTTTTTTTAATTTTATTAGAGGTGGGGTCTTATAGCCCTGGCTAGTTTGATACTATGTATTTGCCTTGAACTTTTGGCAATCCTTCTGCTCCAGACTCCAAGTGCTGGGATTACAAGTGTGCACCACCAGGCCAGCTCAAAATAAAGATTTTAAAGAGTTATGGTCACAGGTAAAAAAATTTAATTCAATTTACAGAATTTTCTCAGTTATAAAGAAGTATAAGAAAGAATCAAAGACTTCTAAATCTAAACTATATTAGAAATATAATTATGTAGACAAAAAGTTCACAGGGAAATGATCAATGAAAAATTTCTGTTAAAGATTCACTTTGTCAGATACATTTTAAAATTATGGAGCATATCAAATTATTCTGGTATTTAGATTCCATTTCAAGACTGATTAAACAATTTTACTTCAACAACATAAGTATAATACAAAATTATATCTTCTACAGCTATTTGAATTTAAGATGGACAATTTTAGTTATCAACACAAAATGTATAAATTTTCAAAATCTGGAGGATAATCAGCTAAAAAGTTAGAAAACTCCTAATTTAGGAGGAAGAATCATGGAGATGCAGTAGTGATTAGATGTGAGCCTGCTGTGAGGCCAGGGAACAATCATGACTGGGTTTCTGATCTGAGAAATGGAATACCATTTCTATTGGAGATGTAGGGTTAGGAGACAAGACAGTATAAGTTTGGTTTGGGTTATGGTGCACATTGATAAACACCTACGTGAGATTGTGCAGAAAAATGGGAACGTAGCAGCTTTAAACTGGCAGCAGAGGAAATTCTCTCCAATATGATGTCTGACTACAAAAATTTTAAGGCAATAAGCCATGTGATTATCTGAGAAAAAGGTATTCACAGAAAAAGATAGTGCAATTACAAGTCTTGAGACCAGAGACCAATGACCAATATATCCTATGCTAAAGAAAAAAAGACAGTGTTGGGAGAGGGAGAACACCAGTCTATAGAGCTACAGAGATCCAAAAAGATGACTTCTATTCTGAGAAGCAATGACAGTTTTGAATAAAAGAGTGAGTGACATGATCTCATTTATCTCTACAGTGTTTGAGAGAAGAGCAAGTGGGGCCAGAGTAGGACAGTTCAGTTAAGGAGCTAGTTTAACACTCCAGGAAACGGGTGATGATGACTTTGTTCTAAGTAGAAAAGAGGAAAAGTAGAAATGGCTGGATGCAGTTACAGTCCGAAATAAAGCTAAAAGGGCTTACTAACAGATCAAGTTGTATTGTATAAATATGATTGAAAAACAACCAAAAAGGCCCAGCATGGTAGTATATACCTTTAATCCCAGTACTTGGGAAGCAGAGGCAGGCAGATCTCTGTGAGATCAAGGCCAGCCTGGTCTACACAGTGAGTTCCAGGCCAGCTGGAACTACAGGGAGACCCTGTCTCAAAAAGACAAAACATTAAAAAATTTTTAGTTTGGCCAGGTGTGGTGGCACATAACTTTAATCCCAGCACTTGGGAGGCAGAGGTAGGCGGATCTCTGTGAGGTCAAGGCCAGCCTGATCTACATAGTGAGTTCCAAGCTAGCTGGGGCTACAGGGAGATCCTGTCTCAGAAAAAGGACCAATTTTTTTTTTTTTAGTTTGAACAACTGAAAGAACAGAGTAGCCATTTACAGACATGGGAACTGTTACACAAGGAACAATTTCTTCAGGGAAGAGGAGTTCAGTATTGACAGCAATACTTAGCAACATCTATGTGCAAGTATTACAAAAGAAATTGAAATCTGAAGTTTAGGAGAGGGGTCTGAGGTAAAAAATAAGTTTAGGGCTAGGTATATTTTAGCTTATACAAAGCTCTGAGTTCAGGCCAGGCATGGTGGTTTAGTCCCAGCACTTGGGAGGCAGAGGCAGGCGGATGTCTGTGAGTTCAAGGCCAGCCTGGTCTACACAGTGAGTTCCAGGCCAACTGCGGCTACAGGGAGACCCTGTCTCAAAAAGACCAAAACAAACAAACAAAAAACAACAACAAAAACCCCAAAGCTCTGAGTTCAATCTACAAGGCAAAAAGGGAAAAAGGAGGAAGGAGGGGGGAGAAAAAAGTGAAGAGGAGAAGAGGAATAAGTTAATCTGGAAGCCAGAAGAAACAGAAGTAATTTGGAAATAATCAAATATAGGTGGAATATGAAGCAATAAGGGAAGAGTGGGAACTCCGAGAGAAGTGCATAAAAAAACAGGTGTCTGTGGGGTGTGGTGGTGCATGCCTTTAATCCCAGCACTTGGGAGGCAGAGGCAGGCAGATCTCTGCGAGTTCAAGGCCAGGCTGGATAATGAGTTCCAAGCCGGTTGGGGCTACAGGGAGACCCTGTCTCAAAAAGACCAAAAAAAACCACACACACATAAAATAAAAATTTCAAAAGAAGGAATCAATCTAGAAGACCAAAAGAGAGCATCAAGAGAAAGGGAAAAGGGCCAGGAGTGGTGGCACACACTTTTTAATCCCAGCATTTGGGAGGCAGAGGCAGGCACATCTCTGTGGGTTAATGGCTGGGCTGGTCTATATAGCAAGTTTCAGGCCAGCTGGGGCAGCTATAGGGAAACCCTGCCAAAAAAATTCTTTTAAAGCCAGAAAGAAAAAAAAAAAAAAAAGAGACACCGAGACAAAACAAATCACAAGTGTTTGACGTTCCAGAAGATAAGTGAAAAATGGGATTTCTAAGGAGGACGAGATCAATTGTCAAATACTGCTAATAGGTCAATTAAGAAAGAACTATATTGCACAGTAAACACCCAAGTGTGCTTTATAATTTGCTTGGCCTGGACTCTGGTAAAGTCTGTTCTTTCCCTCTGCATTGAAAGGAATATTGACTATCCTTTTAAATGTATTCAGAAAATCAGCACATCATGGGGAAAAAAAAAGAAAGAACTACAAAGTATTTTATAAGAGGAACTGTTAGAATTTACAAAATGATAAATGATTTAATAAAGAAAACTAGAGACTTCTATAGCAACTTGGGATACAAAGCAACTATAGTCTATAGAGAAAGAAATGTCAAAGAGGGCGGGAACAAAGGCACAGTAGACTTTAGTTGGAGCTAGAACTAGTGTTACTGCACAGAGATCTTAATGTTACTTTCACTGTGCTGCTTCACCTCTACACATTAAAATGTGAATCTGAAATATGTAACACTTTATACTGAACTCACTACGTAGACCAGGCTGGCCTTGAACTCACAGAGATCCACCTGCCTCTACCTCCCGAGTGCTGGGACTAAAGGAGCGTGCCACCATGTTTTAACACTTTATACATTTCAAAAAGCTTTCTACTTACTGCCAAGAAAAGAATTTTAGGTCGTTAATTTTTAAAATGACTATGTGAGATAATACTAAATCCATTAGTTCTGTTAAAATTTCTTCCTGAGTCAAATATGCAGCCTAACAGAGAATATAATCAAACTTCAGTTCCCTTGGAAGAAAGGCCACGATTAATACAAAAGACATATATACTTGATTAATGTCAAGTGGTAACACAGGTAATGCTTTGGATACTCAGCATAAAACATTTTAATGGAATACTATTGCTCCAAATATACCATACTAAAATTAAACTGATAACAGAAAAAGGTTACTAAATCATGGCTGACAGGAAGCAAAATGCACCAAGTTAAAATGCATTCCTAATGCTCATACAGTTCTGGCTGAACCCCTTGGGTCAGTTTGGGTCATTATTATTTTGGAATAATTCCAAATGATTCCCATGGGTTCTACTGTTCTATTCAGAGAGTCTAGGAAATCCAGAACAGGCTCCAGGTTAATTTTAAAAAAAAAAAAAATCACAGGCTGTTTCTGGCTTTCACCTGAAGTAATCCTTCTAAAAAGCAATTATGATCAGGTTAATCCAATTATTTTGTTACATAAATGATAACCCTCAGGAATTCCTATTCTGATAGATCTACATATAATCTATCACACTCTTCATTCTCCCCGTTCTTTAAGACAAGTCACGTACCTGTCTGTCCCTATGCCTCAAATCTTTTCTCCCATTGTATTTTGTTTATTCCGACAATCTTTCAGATACTTGCTTGCTAATTCTTTCTCAAAACTCTACCACAATGCAAACTTTATGACAGAAGGGCCCTGGGCTATAACCTCAATATCAACAATACTGACTGCCTGACACAGAAGAGGCACTCAGTAATATAACTGAACATATCCTCCAGAATCTAGCACTTCCTTAATGATGGCTTTTCTGACTCTGTTACATACCAGTGACAACAACTTCACTGTCTCAAATGACTGTATACTTTTTTTTTAATGGACAGAAGAGATGCTGTATAGTCTTAAGCAAATTTCCAAGAAGCAGCACTGGTACAGAACAAAACACTAGACTCTTTTAGATTCCACAAAAGCATATTTGAATCAAAGCTCTTACCTTTTTTTTCTGTGCCACACACTATAAATTAACCCAGACATCTTCTCACATTACTTGTGTTTTAGGCAGATATCTAAGATGTTAAGAGCAAAATGTCACAGAGTGGGAAGGTCAATATTTAACCTAAATCAAATTAGACCCAGGAATTCAGCCAATTCTTTCTAGCTCTCTTATATTTGAATACAGATGGCACGACAATAGACATTTTCTTTCCCAAGCTAGCCTGATAAAGAAAACCATTCAGAAAAGGTATCAATCAAAAGAAATCTGAGAGACTGAAAATCCTGATGAAATTACCTTAAGGCAAATTTTCTATATGGAAATTGTTTACCGCAGCATACAATCAAATAGCACATGCACAAAGTGTCAAAGATATTTTAAATACAAAGGCAATGAACCGCATTTATAAACATAACCCACGTGCTCTTTTTGCTGCTAAGTAATATGATAGCTTCGAGGTTCTCAGGGAGTAATGGTAAAGGCATTTATGTTCCTGACTCTTTTAGGGAAGATACATAATTTAGCAGTAATGTTAACAATCCATATATTACCCATTAGTAACGTCATTTCGCTCTGTTCCGTAGCTCTGTATGTTTTTAAATGCTCTAGATGAAGTTTTCTTTTTGAAGGTAAAAGGCTGGGAAGGTTGACTGGCAGCACAATACATGCTTAGTATGCATGAGATCCTGAGCTCAGTCCCCAGCACCAGCAAAAAAAAAAACTAAAAAGCAAAGAAAAAAGATTTTCCAAAATTATTTTTTCCTGAATCCATTTCTCAATCTTTGTTTTACATAGTAAAATATTATGTTAAAAAAGAAAAAGGGAATTTCATTTATTTTTTTTTTTTTACTTTATTTGTGTGTATATGTGTGAATGTGTCTGTCCCATGGTATGTAAGTGGAAATCAGAGGACAACTTGCAGGAGCTGTTTCTCTTCTTCCATCATGTGGGTTTAAGGGGTCAAACTCAGGTTAAGGCTTGGCTTGGCCTGGCTGAGAGCACATTTTACCCCTGAACCATTCCAATGTTTTGGTTTTCTTTTTAAGTCAACACTTTTATATTTTCTTCTTCCTTTCTTTTAATTAAATACTTCACAAATTTGCATCATTGCACAGAGGCTATTGGGATTTGAACCCAGGTCCTCTGCAAGAGCTACCAGTGCTCTTAACTGCTGAGCCATCTCTCCAGAGGCATGTACATGAGTGGGGACGGGGAGGCGTGGGTACAAGTGTCCTCAGAGACTAAAGGAGGGCACTGGATCCTCCTGGACCTGGAATTACAGGAGGTTGTGAGCCACCCCAAAGTCATCTCTCCAGCTTTTTTTTTTCTTTTAACTTTTTAAAAAACATCTTTTATTAAATTTAGCCTTAAGTACTTATTCTTTTTATGTTTTTTTTCAATTTTAGTCTAAGTGCTACAAAAATTATCAAGCCTTGCATTTTCAACCTTGACACTGGAAGATTTTCCAAACACACATACATTCAGTCTTTACAAAAAATCAGCCAAGGTGGCTGGAGAGATGGCTTAGCATTTAAGAACACTGACTGTTCTTGCAGAAGATCTGGGTTTGAATCCCAGCACCCATATGGCAGCTAACAACTGTCCATAACTCCAGTTCCAGAGGATCCTACATTCTCTTCTGTCCTCCATGGGCACTGCATGACACAGGTGCACTTATCTATATGCAGGCAATATACACATACACATAAAATAAAAATATTTTTTTAAATTAGCCAAAACTTGAAGAAAAAAAAAAAAACAGTACTAGGTACTTTTCAGTGTAGTGCTCTGTTTAAACTTTTGATTACTTTTCATTTAACAAGTCTGTAAGATGAATTTATAGAATTTTGGTGGTCAAGATGCAAATAATTTCTATTCAGTGGGAAAGATAACCAAAAATGCTGGGCGTGGTGGCACACGCCTTTAGTCTCAGCACTCAGGAGGCAGAGGCAGGAGGATCTCTGAGTTCAAAGCCAGACTGGTCTACATAGTGAGTTCTAGGTCAGCTGGGGGTTACAGGGAGTCCTGCCTCAAAAAGACAAAAAAAAATTACTTTTATGTTCTTGGCTATTAACTAATTCACATTTTACTAGATCCTTCATTAAATAGAAAGCTGACAGCTGGGGCATAGCTCAACTAGTAGGACACTTACATAGCATTCAGGAAGCCCTGGGTTCTATCACAGGAGGTGGAAACAGGAGGATCAGACTCTCAAGGTCACCATCTACTACAAGCCAAATTTGAGGCCAGCCTGGGCTACATGTGTCCCTTTCTCAAAAATAAATAAGCAAATCACTGACACATGTTCATTTACATTTTGCATGAAAATCATGACTTTTCTGATAGCTATTGGTGGCTTCATCAAGATGTACAAATGGACTTATCTACAGAGCCAACTACTCCATAGTTTTCATATACACATATATATTCCTTACACAAAAAAGTGCTCAAAACTGTTCACTTACATAAACCAAAACATTCAAGATAGAAATTTTGGCCTAGACAGTAAATACCATTAGCTTTACTTCTGAAAATTCACCTCTGTATTCTTAGGATCTAGCATGGTACCAAGTACCTAAGTTGTGTTGAAAAGATATTAGATGAATGTATAAAGTTAAAATACATAACATATATCACACCACTAAAATAGGAATATATTTCTAAAATATAAATGTTTTCTATGGGCATGTACCTCAATTCCATAATGGTAAGTTAATAAATTAATATAAGCTGCTTTTAATATTCACCACAGAAGACCAAATTTATAAGAGCAAAAGTACTAATGAGTATACATTTAAATCACACCGACAACAACATACAGGTATAGCTGATAAATGCACTCACCAGTCTATGAGGTAGAAGGGCTAATTACCATCTGAGTATTTCCCCCTTTGCTTTTAATTCAGGAAAGAGTTCATTATCACCACCCAACACACTTTCCATTTCCACCAAGTTCTTTAAAAACACATGGCTTGGTATGTGCCCCAAGGAAACAAATACTTTTGCAAGAATTTTGACAATAGAACATTTGAAATTCTCCAAGTATGAGGAAAATGTTTTTACCACTGAAGTGCATTACTTCTTGCAATTTCTAGAAATGTATGAAGAACTATTTTTCAAGTGTAGTTACCATTACTACTGGTGTGTGTGTGAGTGTGCACCATGTGTGAGGAGGTCAGGGGACAACTTTCAGGAGTTGGTTCTCTCCTTCCACCATAGGCTCTGGGCACAGAATTCAGGCAGTCAGGCTTGCCAGGTGCTTTAATCACATGAGCAATCTGGCAGACCCCTCAAGTGCTGTCAATTTTAATTAATGGGATTTTATTATTACTTTAAACTTTTGTTATTGTGTGCGTGCATGATGTGTACTGGAGGACACACATGGAGGTCAGAGGGCAACTTTAAGGTGTCGGTTGGTTCCTTCCACATTTATGTGGGTTCAAGGGATCAAACTCAAGCCATCAAAAGCCTGC